TGGCATCATAGCTCATAGCAACCTCAAACTCTTGGGCTCAAGCAATTCTCTTGCCTCAGCCTCCCAAGTAGCTGGGACTACAGGTTCCTGCCACAATGCCTGGCTATTCTTAGAGACAGGATCTTGCTCTTGCTAAGGCTGATCTCAAACCTGTGACCTCAAGCAATCCACCCACCTCAGCCTTCCAGAGTGCAAAGACTTTCAATCTATTTTAAATTTAAGCTTAAAAATATCTAGATGAAGAGCAAAGAAAATAGAACCTCCATAGTTGAACATCTCCCTACACTGACGACCTCTTTTTTTTTGCAATTTTTGGCCGGGGCTGGGTTTGAACTCGCCCCCTCCGGCATATGGGGTTAGCGCCCTACCCCTTTGAGCCATAGGCGTTGCCCCACTGATGACCTCTTACGTTGACCTAATTTTCAAAGGCTGGACATGCACCACATGTATGTATCAGTACAGTAGGCCTACTTCCTTATATTAACCACCTCCACATGTCCCCTTGGGTGGTCAATTTACAAAGGTTCTACTGTATATTTAAATCTGCAGGAGGAGTTTAGCACCTATAGCTCAGCAGCTAGGGTGGCGGCCACATACACTGGAGCTGGAAGGTTCAAACACAGCCCAGACCTGCCAAACAACGACAACTCCAACCGAAAAATAGCCAGGCATTGTGGCAGGCACCCATAGTCCCAGCTATTTGGGAGGCTGAGGCAAGAGAATCACTTAAGCCCAAGAGTTTGAGGTTGCTGTGAGCTATGACGCTACGGCACTCTACTGAGGGCCACATAGTAAGACTCTTGTCTCAAAAAAAAAAAAATCTGCAGGAGGGATTCGCTGGAAAAATAGGGAGTTCTCTGGGTGAAAAAGAGGTGTTGTTTTTTGAAGAGAAAGCAATGTGTATTCAAAAGTGCAAGAATTCAATGTCCTCTTATTTCTAGACATTAGTGATAATGCTGAAAATGCTCCTATATTGCCATTATTCTTTTAAAATACCATCTCAACCACTCCATGAAAAATTTTACTTCAGCGGCAGTATAATTCAAGGATGAGAGAAGAATAAAACTAATCAACCATAAATTAGACATTTTTGAGGCCTTTTGTTGTATGTGGCATTAAGATAGACATTTTAATAGTTAACATGTAAAACGAACTCCCTTCCCACCAAAATAAAAGTTAATTTAAGAAAACTTCTGTATGAAAAGAAATTCCCAGGCAGTGCCTGTGGCTCAGTGGGTAGGGCGCCGGCTCCATATATCAAGGTTAGCAGGTTCAAACCTGGTCCCGGCCAAAACTTCAAGAAAAGAAAACAGCCGGGCATTGTGGCAGGCGCCTGTAGTCCCAGCTACTAGGGAGGCTGAGGCAAGAGAATCGCCTAA